TCTCAAGTCGAACAGCCTGGTTAGGGTCATTCCTGTTCCATTCTCAAGTCGAACAGCTTGGTTAGGGTCATTCCTTTCCTTTCTCAAGTCGAACAGCCTGGTTAGGGTCATTCCTTTCCATTCTCAATGTTAGCGCCCAAGGGGGTGGGCCTTGAGGACACGGATCCTACTTCTGTCTCAGAGGTTAGAAGGTGGTCATCTCTTTTCAGTTTTCTGCGTGCGGTTTCCTTTATCCATTCTCTCAATGTCATTTGTTGTCCATGTCAAACATCCGACTTAGCGTCTAGTGCTCAAATTGAGGCTCACAACCCCAAGCAACACTAGCCCACCCGGTCGTTCAACCATAGCAGAAGACTTGGGCACCCCCTCTATTTTCACTCTTTCTGATAACTCAAATCTTAGTTATTTTCAAACTCATTCATGACTCAGTTGGATTAGGCTCCTAGGGAAGGAGTGTTCTTCATGCCCTTTAACCCATAGGTTCCCTAACCTCTCTCGTACTCAACCGACATTCAATGCCTTGCTTTGCTCGTCAATCTGTAGGCACAGTTTCTCTTTGTCAAAAACACAATCCTCATTCCATCCGAAGTTCACAATACACCCTTCCCAACTGGTCGCATCCCATGCCCCGTATCATTGTCTTGTATACCCACTTTCGAAGGTAGCTCATCCAGAAAGTAGCCTCAAAATGTTATTTTCTAACTCATTGTGACACAGTCTTAGCTCGTCCTCCCGTCACTCATCCTCAGCAGGCTTACTCATGCTATACACATTCTTATCGTTCTCATGTTTGCAAACGAAAAAGCACGATTCTTGTTCAACACTTAACAACATATAATCCCTATTGCTGTCTTGTGCCTCAACTCGCCCGGTCCTTTATCCATTTTACGTTTCCGCGGGCTCTTTAACTCCCAGACCGAAGGTCATGATTTTTTTCCTCCTCGCAATCTCCCGCAACTCCATCTCACTGTGGAAATCCAAAGGTGTTGCCGTCACCCCTGCCTTCACGAGTTCCCGAGTTTTGATAATCCACTCATGTTCGATGATACTAAGTCATTGTTGAAACCAATGATTGGGCGTTGGCCCAAACTCATCCTCCTATCTGAAGGCCTCTTCGCGTGGCTGGTATATCGGGGGTCACCTCTCTTCTCTGGGCCTTGAGATTTTATCCCTCTCATCCCCACTATTGATCTCTATGACCTCTTGTACTTCATCCTCCTCCTCCTCCACCTCTTCTTTCGTCCGTATGGGGCTGAACTCACCTGTGAAGTTCCTTGGATCCAAGTTGTAGGGAATCTCCATCCTCCTTCCATATCCCTCTTCAAAGTCCGGATACCTCCCCTCACAACTGTCGTGGCCGCTCCGCTGTTCATGCGGGTTTTCCCTTCTTTCTCCCCCACTCTCGCGTTCGTCATGCTCGTTGTGCCTCCCTTCGTTCTCCTCAAGCCAAGGTTCATGCTGTTCACATTTCTCGGCCCCTCCCTCGTCAGAGGCCTAAGCCCTTTCTTTTGTCTTCGCTCTGCCCCCCTTCTCCCACACTCACCCTTTCTTCCTCGCTCTCACTGTCGGATAGGATATATATACCTTATCCCTTCTAGAGAGGCGAAGGTCCTCTACACACACGCTTTCTCGGACCCCTGCCCACCACTTGCTTGGACATGAACCCTATGTACAACTTTCTCTTGACAGTCCTCCGCCCTCGACTTGGTCCCGTTCCTCCCTCTTCGGTAGGTCTATTGACTGCCCCGCTATCATTCTCGTTGCCGAATTCCATTTTGCTTTTCTTAGGTTCTCTTCCTGACCTTGTAAAACAGAACAACACCCGCCAAACCCCTCATACACACGTTCCCCCAGTCCGGTAGGCAATTCCCTTTTCCCCATAATGTTCTCAGTACCGTTCGCATCATGCCGCTATTATACATTCCCTTCTCATGCAAATGCCCCATTTGTGATGATCTCATTATTTCCCCATCAAAACTATGATACAATGCTCCCGACAATCTTTCCCGCGGTCACACAAGGCTCGTCATCGCAAAGTCCCAAGACATCTTGTCTTCAACTTCAGTCAGTCCCAACCATTGCCCCAGCCCCCAAAATGTCAGTCCCACAGATGCAGTCAGAGACAAAACCATACTGTGGGCAAGGTTGTCGTCAGTTCTTAGCTTGTAGGTCCTCGGTTTCCTTGTCCTCGGCCTCCTGAAGCCATTGTTTCACTGGGTCCCGACTTAGAAACCTGACCAATCGTTGCCCTGGGAAGGGTCCTTTCAATCCAGTCCCATCCAAATCTTCCAGTTCGAAGGTGTTTAGTCCTACCAGCTTGGTGACCCGGCAGGGGCCTTTGAACCTCCTCCCCAGCTGCCCAGACCAAGTACTTTCTAGTGTTGAGTTCCTTAGCAATACTGCCTCCCCCACCTGAAGTGGCTCCTTTCTGACATTTTTAACCTGGTCCCACCTTGCTTTGTCCCTCATTCTGCTGTCTAGTACCCGGTTGGCGATGTCTTCTATGACCTCCTCGTTCTTAAGAACTTGTTGACACCTCGCCTCAATTAACTCTTCCGTGGTCATACGCGGATCATCATCTAACCTGTTCCAGGTAGGTATCAAGGTTTCCACGGGAAAGTCGATCTCTCTTCCGTGCCGAAGTTCTGCTGGGATACATCCCGTTGTCCTCTTAGGTGTCATGTTTTCTGAGAAGACAACCTGCTTAAGATACCTAGGCCAGCTCCTTAAATGGTTCGCCGCGAGCTTCGCAATCGTGTTCTTTGAGGTTCGGTGCCCTTTTTCCACAAGCGCATTGGCCTCCGGGTGGTATGGCTCGATGAGTTTGATCGGTACGCACAACCTCTTAAGCATTCCCAACACTTCTTGGTTCACAAATTTTGTCTCATTGTCCGCTATAAACCTCCTGATGAAAGGATGCCTTAAGTATAAGTCTTCTATCCAGTCCGTTACACTTCTCCCTGACTTTTTCTTGAGAGCGACCGCCTCCACGAACCCACTCAAGTTGTCTCACGCATCCAGGATATACATGTACCCATCTGTTGATACAGGCATGACCGCAAGGTCAAGGTGGACCAGATGTCCCGACCCTAGCACCCGCGTTGGTTTAAGCGGCTCGAAGACGCGTGCCGAACTCCGTTCCTGGCAGATTAGGTAGGTCTGGCAGTACGTGGCGATAATGCCTACCATGCCTGGCCAATAATAGAGTGGCGTTATCTTCGCAAGAGTTTCCTTGGACGATCGATGTCCTCCTGCTAGTCCGTCGTGCATTGCCTGGATCATGTCCAACTGCCTAGATCTCTCGCACACAACTCTTATAGGCATAGCACCTTCCTCTCTTCGGAAAAGATGGTCGCCCCTTAGGACGTACCTCTCGGCCGCCTCCCTTGCTTTAATGCTGATTTCCATAGGTTGTTTGTTTCCTACCAGCAACAACCCAATCTCCCGAAAGATCTCTTCGTATATCTGGGCATAGAGAAACTTCATTCCTTCCTGGTCCTCATCCTTTCTCTTCTGCATCAGGTTTACCATCCACCGCAACTCTTTCCTTTTCCAAGATTCCACTAAGCTCATCACGGCTTCTCGGCCTCCCTCAACTGCCATTGTTATTAGTTCCTCCTTCGGTCCTACTATCGCTCCCCACAAATCTTTCTCCTCTTTGCGACCTCGAGTGGTGACTGGTCCTTCTCTAAGTTCTGCTACTACGGCAGGTGCTCCTTCTCCAAAGTCCGGATCAACAGTTCTCCCGACGCGCATTCTTCGCCCATCATTTCGTTATCCATCGCAAGAGTTCTTCCTTCATATTCAAGGAACGCGTCTATGGGCTCCGCATTCTCCACCCCTTCGGGAGTGATGCAGACCTGACTCAGCCCATCGGCCTTGTTTATGATTCCAGCAATTTATTCGATCTTGTAATCGAACTGCCAGATAAATCCTACCCATCTCCCCACCGTCGGATCTATAGGCTTGTAATTCTTTAAGGCCCCTGCGACATTCGTCGGATCGATCCTTAAGATGAACCGCCTCCCAAATAGGTAGGTCTGGAAGGTCTTGAGACAGTGTAAGATGGCTAAGACCTCCTTCTTGAACTGCCAGTACTGCCGTTCTGCGGAGTTCAAGATTCTACTTTCGAACCTGATTGGCCTCTCTTTTCCTTCCTCATCCCTTTGAATCAGTATGCCTCCTACGGCCAAGGGTCCTTCATCCGCTTCTAGGATGAATGGTCGTCGCACTTCATCATTAAAGCAGGGTGCGGACAAGGCGACTTGCTCAGATGTCAGTATGTCCTTGAGGGTTTGGACGGCTCCTTCTCGTTCCTCCGTCCAATCCATAGTTCTTTTTTCTCTGATCATGGCCCGGATAGGCTCAACAATCTTGGCAAAGCTTTTAATGAAAATCCTCCAAAAGCCGACCACGCCTAAAAATGCTCTTACCTTCGCTGTCGTGCGCAGGGGTGTTGGCCATTGTGATATCTTGTCAGTCTTTGTCGGATTTGGCTTCCTACGGAATGCGCCACACCGAAATCCTAGTATGGTTACCTCCAGTACTGCTAGAATACTCTTAGGTCCGCTAGCCATAATGTTGTATACTAGGAACCGACCGAGTAAGTCCTTGATGTCCTATAGATGGTCTCATACAAATCTCCGGATTCTTGGTTGGACTTCCGTCTCGTCCTTCTCTTGGGCGCCTTTCATCGGGTTGTCATCGATGTAGGGCTCACACTTCTCTGGGAACATGTCTCCGACTACGGCAAGCATTCTCCTTTGTGCTTCGGCGACCCCGTTCGTAAAGCCCATAGGGGTCACCTGCATCTGCAGTTGTCCTACGGAGGTGTGTATTGCGGTGTATGGTCTGTCCCGAACATCCAACGGAAGCTGGTCGTATCCTGAGTATAAATCTATCAGGGAGTAAATGTTTCGGCCGACTTGCGACTCTGCTAATAAATCGGTCTGAGGTAGCGAGCCAGCATCTCGGATGGTTATTGCATTCAACTTCTGCAGATCTTGAATCCATCTCAGCGTCTTGTTGGGTTTTCGAAAGACGAACCACCGGTTCGCGTATGGCGACGCGGTAGGTTCTGCGACGAAGGAGTCCATCTTTGTCCGAAGAAGGTCTGTTACCTCCCCTGCTATCCCGAATCCATAGGATGACCTCTTGTCATTCCAGCACTCATGCTCCACCGTGTGGATCCTAACCGGGGGAATCAGCTTTGCATCTAACCTCCCCTTTTGGTGATCACTAAAACTCCTTGCACGTTTTTTTTATCAGGAGGGTTTCTTCTTCCGTTATGAATCCCTCTACCCCTATCTTCATTGTATCGGTCAAGTCATCTGGTACTCGATGTCCTTCTGTTGTTCGCCTTTCTCGGATCACTCGGAGGACTTCCTCCTCCTTCTCCATACCCTCTTCCTTTGATGTCTCTAGCAGGATCGAGACCGGTTTTGCTTTCTTCCCTACCGGCTTGTACTTTCGAACACTTCCTTCCGCGATCTTTCTCCTAAAAAATGAACGGTCGCGATTACCCTCGTCACCTCTACGATTCGTGGTTGAATACTGACTAATTTTCCATTCAGACAATACCCCTTTTGCACTTCTCCTTCGAATTTAGCCAATGTCGTCGAGTCCACTCCTACATTGTGGTATTTGATGGCCTTGATGAGCTGTAACAAATCGGGAATTTCGAGTGCAACTTCTGGCACGTCCATGCGCACTTCTTTCCGCTAGGTTGGCTTCGAGTTCGACTTCTGATCCCCTTTCTGCCACCATAACACCTAAGACTTCGTCCTCCTGCCTTCTTTTCTTCTAGGGCAGGCCCATCTTGATCCATTCTTTTTTATTGAATGTTTCCTCGATTATGATTTCTACTCTTTCTCTCATGCCCTCCATTCGTGCAAAATCCCCCTTCCGCGCTATCTTCGAATGATGGTGACCATGTTGCTAACTTCCCCTGCGGAGGGTCTCCGCCTGTCCCAAGAAGTCGGAGGAGCTCACCCCAGCCGGTTACTGGGTCCTCTATGTCTACCATGTATGTGCCATCTTGCAAGTGCATGCCTATCATTTCTACGTTTGTGCACCATGGTCTCCCGAGGATTATGTCATGGTCCATTTTTCTCCATTACTGTCATCCGTTGAAACGACCAGATCGATTCCCTGATGCCTGCCTTGACTGCGCATTTCGTGATGTACCCAACGAACGGAATTTCCCCACTGGCTTATCCTCCAAATTCCCGCGACTCCTTTGAAGGTTAGCTACTTCTTGCGTAGCTTCTTCCTCCCTTTCTTCTTCCGGTAATTCGGGGTTTTCATCTATCTTTACTCGCCGTCGAGTCAACAGTTGTCTAAGCCCTTTGAGCAACCTAGGGCTGGCCTGCAGCATGTGCTGAAACGACACCGACACCATGGTTCCTAGTAATTTGCTAAGGGTGTCATCGATCTCAGGCATTGTTAAAATCGGGATTTGATACCTAAACTCCTTTTTAGCAGCGGTAGCTTTGTCTGTAGGCTCCTCTTCCCTAGGCTTCCCATAGACTTTCTCTGGTTCCCCGGCCTTCAGGCTTTGCCTGGGGTACAGAGCTTCCAGCGACCTCCTCCATCACGGTGTCACGGATAATCCTCTCCCAGCCGTCCCTAGCCGAGTAGTCGCGTTCACCCTATCACGTCCGTCGTTTTCCAGAATGAAATTGACCTGCGGCCCGCGTTCCCGAAGTTGATCCCAGATGATATCGACCACCGGCTCAGCCTCTACGACTGCTATCTCTAGCCCATTGAGTATGATAATGACTCGCCTCATCCCCTCTGGCGAGTTCCAATTCACCCGTTATCCCTGCGGTCTGAATATCTCTCTCTTTAATGACCAGGTACATCTCATTTTTAATATATGAGTTTTGGACATGCACGCACAAAATGTCCCACCGAGGTACAGTACTTGCATTGCTCATTAGCGGGATCTCTCCGTCCAAATCCTCGATTAGCTACTCCTGGCGGAACTACGGCTTCCTGGGGAGGGAGGGCGGGTCGGGATACTTGCGTCTACATAACCAGCAACGCGTTCTCCACCCTTTCGATCTTATTGTCGACTCCGTGCACTCGTTCATGTAGACTTTCAATCCCCTTCTTTACCTTATCGCCCGTCCTACTGGTCCGGTCTATAACCTCCCCTTCCTTAAGCAAGGCCAATGTCTCGGTTACTACTGTCTTCTCGGCCAGGTCCGTTATCGTACTGAAATCAACATCCTTGGTGTTTACAAACTTGCTCGTCTGTAGGTAAGTTGACAGGATCTTGTCCTTGTCGAACTCGGAGAACTGTTAGAGAAAGTATTTGCTCATTATCCGGTCCGTAAACCCGGGGATCCTTAGTGCTACCAGGGTAAACTCCCGAAGGAAGTCATTGTATGTTGCGAAATTCTTCCTCTGAACTGCCGCTAAGCCGGCCTCCGTTGCCATTTTTTCCTCTACCAGGTACTTCCTCATCATTACATCCCGGGTTTCCTTCCAGGATCGCGGCTACGATGGCCATTATGTCCCGCCCCAGGCTTAATGATACATGTTGCCACAGGTGGTCCATCTTTTATTATTCGGTCCATTTCAACAACGCAGTCAGGTTCTCGTAATCTATTAGGAACTCCGTGATGTTTGCCCCATCAAATGTCAACTTTTTCTTAGCGTCAATTAGGTAGCCTTGGTTTTTGTTCAGTGCTCGCGCGAGGGACGATACTATCTTCCTGAGGCCGCCTTCGGAGCTACTGGCCTCGCCCGCCGTACTGGTATCCTGCCCTTCCTTACCGACTTTTTGTCCCTCGTGGTCTTTGCAGTTCCTTCCAGGTCGAACCATTCCAACACTCTTTCCCTAAGGCTCCAGAGTCCTTCGCATCCTCTCGTTACCACCGGTGTGGTCGGCAGACGACTAGCCATGCTATCTATGGCTGGTGGGTTCGTAGCTTTCTCTGCTTCCATCCCCGGGGAGCTCTCTCTCTCCTTCCTCCTCTTGCTTGGTGTTCCTCCACGGTCACTACCCTTATCCCCTTGCCCCATTCCGCCTTGGCTGGTTTTCCGTTCGTCCCGCGGTTCTTCCCGCAGGGGGTCTTCCTCGCTCTCTGTCATCATCTTCTCAATCAACCTTGCCTTGTACTTCGCGGTCCTCTTTTCTATTTCCGCTAGCTTACGCCTCGCATCCGTTACTCTCACTTTCTTGGACACAACTCCCTCTGAATTCTAGGGGCTTGTCTTGTCCTTGTTCCTACCCTCCCAGGTCTCTTGGGTCCCTTGCTTGCTTCCCCCGGCTTTCTCCGAGCTTTCCCCTGAGGAGATTTCCTTCCAATTCCCCCTGGTACCATCCGGATTTATCGATTCTCTGTCTTTCTGACCCTCCTCGCTTTGCATGGCGCTGTTTCCTAAGCCTGGTCCTCCCTCGCTTCTACGATTATCCGTTTCATCCTCCAGCGCCATTTTGCCTATTTCTGCATAAACTAGAGGATTCCCCAGGATACACGCAGCACGAGGCATTTAGGTTCCATAGGTTTCAGTTTCGTCGGTTTATCTTTATTTGAATAGTAGTATTCTCCCCATTTCCGTCTCCTGATTGCTTCCCTAAGAAGGAGTCGCGACTGGCCCTGCTGCCCTATCGAGCTAATGGACATGACTTAGTTCCCTTTATAACAGGCTCGTTTAGAGTACCCCTGTTTCGCCAGGCCAGCGCGTAGGAGTCCTGGTTGGATATCCTGTTAGGAAAAGTTTCCCGAGCAGTACTCCCCTTTTTATCCTCCGGGTTCATGACAATCATTAGGAGTCTACCCTTTCCCCTTTTTCTGCAGCGATTTTTTATCGCCCGGTCCGAAGGTCCTTTCCCACTTCCACCGGTGAGCCCCTGTACGTAGCGGACTATACTTGATTTGCCTTATTGGCCTGCCTCCGGGTGCTAGTCTCGCTCTCGTCCTCGCGGCCTTTCCGGTTCAGTAGGCTCTTCAAACAGTTGAGCCACCCCCGCTAGATAACTCTCTCCTATTTCGATTTCCCTCCGGATTATGTGTTCGTATTCCGCCCAGGCTAGCCGCGGCAACCCAAATGTCAGGATGTTGATAACTTTCAGCAATTCATGGGTCCGGTTTCCCCAAAACGACCCATGCTCCACAAAAACGTTATAGAACATCCCGATGGTTTGATAGGGAAAGTGGTCTACCCAGATTATTGTCGAGTCTGCCAGATCCTGCGCCCTTGCGAGGCTCCCGAAGATGAGGTTTATCATGAATCGGGGGACCCGACACCTCAGTGTGGTTGTCGGTGCCCTGAACTCCCTCCAGCCCCCCATTTCCACCCTGGTGAGTAAGTCCACGTTCCTCCTACCCCTGATCGATTGACCTATTCGAGTCAACGTCCGGGGGGCCCTTCGAAGGACCGGTGTCAGCTCGTGACATTGTGCTATCCCCTCCCCCAGCGAGTGCCAACCGATCTCGGGTGGATACATGGTCCCGGTGACTTCTAAGTTGGAAAACAATTCATCCCGAGGTCCTCGGTTGAATCTCATCCCCATCCACCGACATTCTACCAACATAAAGGCGCTGTCTCTCCCCAAAATCACGGCCCGTCATTCCACGTCAAATCCCCGAAAGTTGACATTCAACGGAAGGGACACATCTTTTGCCGTAATTCCAGGACGGTCCGGCATACCGGGGCTGGCGTTCCGTTCGCACATGTCTTGCCGTCATTGTTGTTTCGATAACTTCTTGCATAGTCCACATGGAAAGGATTACGGCCCGTTCTTCAGCAACTGCCCATCTTCCTACTGTTTCCTTTCCCGCTTATGTCCCCTTTCCTCTTTTCTGTCACGCGTCCCACATCAGCGCCCATAATGGTCGAACATTTTCCCTTGTTTCAATCCCCTCGCAGGTCCTGCTAAGCTAATGTACATGGCCCTTTCTTATATTACACCTAAGTTTGCACGCATCCCCCATACTCCGACTTCCCCACGGCGTTAAATTTTTTGGTCCCTTTAATCGAACTACAATACCTCAAACAGTTTAAAGACATCATCCACGTAGGATGGAGCGGCCGCCGCCTCCCGGCTAACTATGACG